TCCTCCTCCTCCTCCTCTCCTTCCAGCACCTCCTCCAGCTTTCAGCCTTCACCTCCTTTTCCACTCATGTTTCTCTTCCCTCACCTTCTGCTGTCTTTCTCCCTCTTTCCTCCTTAACCTCCTCCTCTTCACTCATCTCTTCCTCTTCCGTTCTTCAACCTTCACTTGTGATTAATCAATAAGTATTATTAAAGAGACCTCGCTCCCGTCTCCTGCCCCTCTGCCCTTCGTTGACTTTCTTTATGGGACGTCTCCAACAAACTGGGGAAATTTAAAAGCTGCAACTAATTATTTTTACATTTTCATTATTGATTATTCTGTCGATCAGTCATCATCGAGTTGTTTGGTCCATAACATGTCCAAATCGAAGTCGTCGTTTCTTAAAAAAATGACGATTATCAAAATAGTTTGCGGCTCATTTATTACTCGATGACTCATCGATTAATTGTTGCGTCTCTAGAAAAGTTAATTATGATTTAAGCCCCGTTTATACAACCGTTCTGGGGGCAGAAATAAAGATTTGTTCGATATATTTTATTCTTATAGACTTTAACTATCGTACAAGTCTTGATTTAATTTGCTGAAACTAAAGTTTTAAGTGTAGTTTGGTGCAGTGTCACTGGTTCAAGGCACTGAACTAACTGCTCCCATCACTCCACCACCTCTCCACATTTCCCTGTCTATAAATATCTCTAAAATATATTTATTTGTATTCCAGTATCATGAATATTAACAGACAGCAGCACAGCTCCAACTCACAGTTAAACCTCGAATAACGACTGAGTTAGTTTCACCTTTAATTAGAGACGATGAGAGCAACAATAAACCAACAATTAGATTTCAGTCTTTAAACGAGAGGAAATAAAACCCTCAACTGAAAATCATGCAGTCAACTTATTAACGAGTCTGTGAGGCCTTCGGGTGCAGCTGATTTCTGCTGATTTCTTTTCTTTTTCTTTTTTTTTGTTCCTTCCTTCAACCGAGCAGTCTCCCCTGCCTGTCGCCATGGCAACTGCATCAGCACCCGACTTCAAAAGGAGGCTCCAAAGAGAAAGAGAGAGAGGAAGAGGACAGAAGCAGGCTAACACGGAGAGGAAAAGAGAGAGAAAGAGAAGAAACCAGAGGAAGAGGTAGAGAGGGAGGAATAAAGGGATAAAGGAGCAGAAGGGAGAAGGAGAAGAGAGGGAGGAAGAAAGAAAAAGGTGGAAAGAGGCGGAGATAGAGAGATGGATGGAGAGATGAAATAATTAGAGGAGAAGCAGGGAGAGAAAGCAGTGGGCAGAGGAGCGTTCACAGTCAGAGTCTCAGTGCTGGAAGTGATTTCAAGCTGCTTTAAAACGGTTTTCAAACAGAGAGAAACGTGACGGAGACGTGAAGCTAAAATATTTATCCTCTTTAAAACAGACTCAGGTGTTCCCCAGAGCTCCATCACTGAACCTCTATTGTTTCATACTTATACAAATGATACAGGACAGTTTATTACACACTGCATAAAGACGACACGCTGGTTCCATTAAAGGGAATAATCCATGTTGTATCCTGAGCTGTGGCCAAGTTATTGTAACAGTTGGTGGAAAGCTGCCGTCATCAGACCTTTTTCACAGCAGCCATTCTGACATGAAACAGTAGGGTAAAGACAGGTAGGCTCAGCTACACTAAATGGAACGCAACCTTAATTAGTATCATTGGTAACGCCTGTGTTTACCCGACTGCTTCATGTCAAAATAGCCACTGTGGAAAAAGGTTTATTGGGAAAGCGAAATGCGCCACAAATGCGTCCACTTCGAAACCTGTTCCATGAACAATGACCTGTCCTGTATTGTCAAAGAAACCTCTTCAAAAACGTCCTTGAAAGGTCCTGGAAAATGATTTATTAAAGAGTGGGAACCTTGAAATGACCAAAAATGCTTAAAAAAATACTATTTGAGAAGTCTTTTTGCTTTGCTCAGCCTTCAGTGAGACCATCAGTTCATGCAGAGCTGGAAACATCAGCGTAGATTACAGTTCAGTCAGTGTTCACAGGGTCATTATTTCAGTTGTGTCTCTCCCCGGGAGGTCGGCCCACACGGCATCGACCCAGCGGGAGGTATCAGGCACTCCGGGCGTGATACCTGCCAGGTTTAGCTCTGGAGGACGCCGTTATTATCGACAACAGCGGCGAGCTGCAGGACAATCAGACAGCGGGGGGGCGGGGCTGAATCTCGACCACCGAGCCTGACGCAACAAAAACGACTCTTCTTTCAATCCTTCTGTCGGCTTTATGGTTGTAATCAGGACAGGAAGTCGAGAACTGACAGCCGCTGCATCCCGAAGCTCCTCTGTCACTTTTTCAGGGAGTTTTTGAATAAAACAAGACTGTAAGTGAAGTTTGATCTTTGAGGAAGAAAGCTGTCTTTTCTCTCTGTCGCTGCGAGTAGCTCTGAACCGGACTGTCACTTTAGATTTAACTCGCCAGCGATGTGACGCGGCCCAGTTAGAGCTCAAGATGTGTTAACACGTACTGGAGGGCAGCGCGTCCTCCTACAACCTCGACAAAATGTGAACCTGAACTCTTAAGATCCTCGTATCAAAGTGACAACAGCAGCTGATTTTAAAAAGACCCACGGGAGGGCAGATATCAGCTGACCTGAAATAAACTCCAGTTTCACAGTAAAGCTGCACGTCGCACAGAGGAACAAAAAGAAACCAGACGGATCTAAAATTCCTCCAACACGATTACTATTACGAGAGTTTTCGCCTTTTGAAGACAAATTATTCATACTCTGGTAAAAAGAATGTGTTTAATAAGTTGTAATACTTATATATACTTATTATAACAATATTGATCCTCAAATCGCTCTGAAAGTGTGAATAGTAGACATTGTGTAGAAAGTGAGAGTACTGGTAAGCTGCTTTGATTTGATTCACTGATGCTGTGATAGGTACGGTGGACAGTGAGGGTCAGTCTAAGCCAGTACACATAAAAAACAAAGTGACGTAATCCCGGTTGTAAGCTGCGATTCCAAATGATTCACAAGTCGAGAGTTCACTTTGGTTGGTAGAGAAATGATATATTTTACAGCTCTGATGCTCCTCAGACTCACCGGCAGGCTGGATGGTCTCTCCTGTTGGCTCAGACTCATCTCCTCGTGGTTTGGTTTCCCAGGAGTCATAGCAGCAGACTGGCCACGCCCCCCGTACGCCTCCTGCGGCACCTCCTGAATCGAGACAGACGAAGACGCAAAAGTTCAAACTACACAACTCTCTTTACCCTCAGTGGATCTGATGCAATGGTGTTCTGGATCTTTTAACTATTTCACAGGATCCTTATTGATTATACAACGTATTGATTATCAATGAGGCAGATGTATTATAGTATTTGTATAAACACAAACATCTTGACACACGTCTGGAGGGGATCTTTAAAATGACAGATCTTCTACGTGTTATCTGATAGAAAATAAAGATCCTGCTGTTTGCTGCAGGTCAGTGTTTGTCAGTGTGTCGTCTCGAGGCTGATGAAGGAGATAAAACCGCAGCTGAAGGTCGGGACTTCCTCTTCGTCACGACTGCTTCACACTGAAACTCTCGAGACTGACTCTTCTCTGACTCGAAACGAAAGTTCAGGACTGTTTCTGTACTCCACTACAGATGGGAGGCAAATATTGTACTTTTTACTACGTTTATCTGACAGAGGTAGTTACTTTGATACTGATATTTTTATATTTTTACTTAATTTAGTTGATCTGTTTAGTTTTTCTTGACATTACAGGACAGCATGCACTCACTAACGGTCCCATCATTTAGATTTATATATAACAGCTACAACATTTCCACCGGGTTGAGATTTCCGCTCGTGGTTACAGAAAATTTTTACTCAACCGCAAAAAGATTGCTGCGAGTCTGTTCCGCTCAGCATCGATTGTGAAGAGAAGCACTGACTGAGATGGGAACTGAAAAGTGTCATATAACCTGCAGCCTATCCCGCCAACAGTTTCAGACTAAATATGTAATAAAGGAGATTTTATTGAGAGGCTGAAATACAAAAATACTAAATATTCTCAGACAACAAAGATTACTTCCAGGATTATTTGGTCATTTTAATCAATTCTGTAGTAAAAACATCTTATTGAGATTGACAGATATTATAATTAGTGTGAAAATGTGTATCACAAATTATTTTTTTTAATGAAAACTATTAAAATCACCATGATGTAACATTTGTTTTATCTGGAGAATAAGATTAGCTGTGATATACTCTGATCAGAGCCGTTTTTACTCAATTTATTTTATCAATCGGGTCAATAATCATCAGTAAAATGCTGAATATCGGGTCCAATAACTGACTGGGCCGAGATAAGATTTGAGATTTCTGTGTAAAAAAAAAAAAAAAACATTCTTCCTCACTCGCTTGTTGTTTTTTCTGTAAAACACTTTAAACACAATCCACTTACTGTATCAATAAAGTTTCAGACGCTTACTTCCGCATTATAAAGTACATCCATTTAATACTGAAGAAAATAATCAGGTGGCTGCTTAAAATAAAAATGTATTCATTTGTTATTTTGTGCTGTTGGTTCAGCAGTTTGTGCCTTTAAAGGATTTAATCTCATCTTTCTACATTATAGTAACATTTGAGTTTTCCTCCTGATGCTCGGAGACAAAATGCTTTGTGAAGACATTTTCTCGCAGCAGTCGGGGAGGCGTCGACCTTGCTGTAGCCTCTGGAGGCTTTTGTGACGACGGGAGGAAATGCAGAAACTTTGAACTCCCTGGAGTCTTCGACTGAGCTGCTCTCCCTCTGAAACACCCGCTTTCATTTCAGTCTGTTTCACAAAAAAACGCAGAAAGTCGGGGACAGGACGACAAAAGGATGAAGGAGCTCACTGACCGGAAACAACAGCCGGAGTCCGAATGTGTTTCAATCATCCAATTTGATTTGTTAAACACAGAAATGTCTCCAATAGTGGCCGATTCTTACGTAAATCTGACTACATTTTAATAAGAAATCTTCTCGTTTCCTGTTCTCGTTGTCATTTGCTTCCTTTTCGGTGTCTTCCACAATCTTATTTCACATTGTTGTGCATTCGGTATATCAGAGTCGATCAGGGTGAAGAGAGAACAGTGTTTGTGTTCAGAGGAGCAGTGAGACGTCGCTCCAGGTCGGATCTGATGGAGCGATCCATCCTTTCAGCTTTTTACATTGTATTTACAGAACACACAATCAGAACGTGTGTTTCGTTTCAAAAGAAAAGATCATAAAAAACAAGAACCTGTCGACCTCAACGCCTTTGTTTTGTTTCATTTATTAAAGTATTTAAAGTGCGTTCATTGTTTTTTAAAATGGCTGCTTTACCTGTTCAAGAAAATCTGATGTGATGAAACAGAAACGGCAGTAAAATGATGATGAAACGTTCTTTTCTTCTCACTGTGAACTGGGAATCTGCTCTATAGTGAGTGTCGTCTTTCTAAAGTCCACTGTATTTGGGCTCATGAGAGCGCCCTCTCTGAAACTTTACAGTTTCTACCTGTTGTGGCAGTGGGCGGGGCTGCATGTACGGCGGCTGGCTCGGGGCGGCGGGCTGCTGCTGCGGAGGGCTGAAGTACGGCGGCTGACCCGGCTGACAGTAACCGCCCACGTTCTGCTGCTGCTGCTGCTGCTGCTGCTGCTGCTGCTGCTGACCGTACTGAGAACCCATCTGAGGACACAACAAACATCAGCACAGTGAGTCTCTGATGAATAAACCAAGAGTCACCGCCACAACACTGTTTCCATCCACCTGCTTTTACATTCAGTGTCTCCAGCGAGCAGCGAACACCCAGCCCTCTGCTGCAGGAACAGGAGTCCAGTGTTCATTTTTAGATCTTATTTTGAATTTTTTGTTTCCTGTTGCTGTTTTGTGAGGTTTATACTGCAAAAAAGGAACTTCAAGAAAGTAAAAAAAAGGGGAAATAAGTCTTATTTTTAGTCTAAAAATACAAATAATCCTGTCAAGCATGTTTTACATTAGGAACTGGTTTTGAGAAAAAATATCTGACTTTGTTTTAATAAGATATCACAGCTAATAGTGAGCTACATTTAACCAGTAACACGTTATAACACTGGTTTGCATAATATTGTAAGATTTTCTATCAATCTAATCAGTATGAGGATTATATTCCAGAATATCTGTCCTGTTTCTAGAAGAGCTGTTGTTGCAGTGTAGGATGTGGTTGGGTTGTTTCTGCCATGAGGGTGAAAATAGTGTTGTTAGCTGCTGACAGCTGGGTGCTAATAGCATCCATCTTTTATATTTGCACATAAAGTGGAAACGCTGAAATGTGAGGTGTAAAAGTAGATAAAAACAGAATTAGACCTTAACAACAGAAACAGAAGATTTTGTGGGTGAAACATGTGATTTAAACGCCAGTTCCAGTGAAGAGCTGAACACAAGTGATGAGGAGACTGTAACCTTCATTTATTATCATCATTTTTCATTATTTAACCAGGAAAACAACAACAACAAACATTTACATTAAGAACACATAAGAGCAATATACTCTCTCCCGCTCTCTCTGAAACGCCTGGAGGAGGAACTGGGAGCAGATTGGGGGATGAGGTTTGGCCAGGCATCAATTAATCCAATTTAAAGCTTGTGCACAGGCTTCATTATTCAAAAACTAAACTGCACACAATCTTTCCTACATTTCCTCTCGGTGTGATCCTCCTCTACCGGACCTATCACTGTTGGTGATCAGCTTATTTTAAGAAAAAGAAAATGCATCATACTTTACGATATAATTATTAACTCAACCTGGATAACTGCACTAAAATGAGGAAATAAAACTGAATATGTGTACAGTGTGGATTATATAAAAACTATAAATAACTGTTAAAGGGACAAACAGTATGGCAGCAACACATCCAATCAAAGAAGAAAAAGGGAATGACTGTGGGGGCCGTTTATGGTTCTGGGAAATGGAGTCAGAGTGAGACCTCTCGCTGTCTCTGAGCTGGAGACCACCAACAGACAACACCATCCGCTTCTCTCCTTTCACCTGTCGGGCTGTCAACAACACAGCTGGACGGTGTTCGACAGCGTTTCCTGCTGCACTGACGCCCAGTTTTACTCCGTCGGTATCGAAACTGAAAGAAAGATGATGTTTAATTCTCTGTAGAATCGACACGATTCGGTCGGTGCCATAAAACTATGGAAGTTCGGTACCCAGCTCTACTGACGTGCGTTTGAACCTGAACCTTCCTGTGTCGTCCACCTCCATCACTGACATCACTTACTTTGAATATTCCCTGTTTGTTGGGTTTCTTTCTCTTTGTTTCTGCTCTGTAATGAACATCAAAAGTACATTATTCCAAACAACATACACAAACACACACACAGTATCGGCCAACACACGGGAGGAACAGATACTCAGAACATGTTTTCCATCGTTTCATCGTCTGGAGCTCTTTTAATGATCTCCTCATCTTCTGCAACGGTCTGAAGGCACCGACTGGAGAATCATCTCCACCGGCTGTTTGTCTCCGTCAACCAGTGAACTCAGATTCACACAACAAACGAGCATTCAGTCGTGTTTCCGCTTGATTTTCTGGAAATTCGGTTTCAATTTGGAGACGTGACAAACGTTGACTGACAGCCGGAGCACTTCTACATGTTGGATCAACACGAAACTGTGCTGTTGAATCATCAGCGCAAAACACGGACAACTGTTAGAAAATATCTGGATTCATGTTTACGGGAGACAGAGAGGAGACGGCAACGTAACCGAGGTCGTCCTGACCTCCCGCCCTGCTCGCTGCAGCATGAATAAAGAATATTAGAGGTGTGAGATGTTTCCACTCTGCTGAAGACGTGAAACAAGCTGACAAACACACTCTGCTGTATTCCTGGAAAGTGACCTATATATTTAAATTCCTCTCCCGAGGAGTCAACATGTTCTCTGACTGAAATAAACCTCCCACAATTCCACGATACAAAGCTTCTTCTCATCGTCGTGTCCCCGTGCTGTGAGCGCAGAGGTCTGACGTGACCTCCGACCTCCTTGCTGTTACTGTCTCCAGTGTTTGAGAGCTGCAGCTTGTTCGTCTGCTGCAGTCACAGGAGAATCACATGATCACGCAGCCACATGACGATCTGAGACGCATTCCTTCTGACTGCAGCTCTGGTTCCTCTGGGGATGAGCACAGGAAGCTCATTTATGTAGCACTCAAACTGCTCTACGTGTACTTTATGTTAGAAACAAACAATAAAAGGACCAGTGTGTAGGATTTAGTGCAGATTGCAGGTTACAACCCTCTCGCCTCACTCTCCCGTTTCAAGCGTGTAGGAGAAACTACGGTGGCCCTAAGCTGATCGTACGTGTGAAGAATGTCTTATAAATGTCATGAGACACATTTACATTTATACCAAATATCCAAAACTAGTTTTACTTTACTTACACTGCAAGAACGACACTGAAAGCTTTCCAGACGAACTCAGTTTCATCATTTTTAATGGAACTAATTGGTCACATTAAACCTCCACATGAACATTTATACCACCTTAAAAAAGGTGCACAGACCCGCTGAGATTACATCAGGACTGCAGCGTCTTTTAAACACTTCCACAGACCTTCCTCCTCAGATCGTTATCCCTGAAAGCACATCCTCTCCTCGGGAATAAAATGCCACCAAACGCAACAAGACGCAACCTCGCTGCAATCTGTGAGAGCCGGAGCTCCGAGCGGCTGCTGGAGGACCCGAGGATCAACTGCCTTGCTCAAGAGCACCTACTCTGCTCAGCATCTACTCAGGCGCTCAAGCTGTGACGGGCTGTTAATCGGCAGCGCCGGGGCAACAGCGGCCGCGGTGTGACATCAGTGTGATGATGTAAGCAGGTGTCAGAAGCAGACTGAGAGGAAAATCACAAAGCACAGCTGATCAACAGAAAATTAATCTTAGTAATCGTCAGACGCTTTAAAGTCGTTTAATTTCTCTATTTTCTGACATATTACCGACTAAATGATCAACTGAATTAATCAAAGACATTATTTTACAGAAAATATCAACTGGATATTCTCCCAACCGACTTGGGTTTGTAAGGGAGTGAACTGGGTTGAGTTGCACGGTGGTGGTTGGAGAGGTGGAAGCTTTATTCGTGTGGCGTCTCGCTAGGTGAATGCTTTTTGCGCTGAGCGGTGAGTGGTGGTTTAAGTCAAGCAGGGCGTGTTTGTTTTGAGAGAGGAGGAGCCTCTGTGGTAATTGTCTTGGTAGAAACTCTGAACCATGAACACTGAAGGAATCGTACGGGAGAAGCTGCTGCAATGACCGGCATATGGTAGTGAGACAACAGGACTCCGAGTGATCCACGCTGCTCCACCATCCTGATCACACTTCATATTATGTTATTGTTTTGGTTTGAGTGGCAGGAATTACAGATTGTACGTTTAATAGAGACAAGTTGTTATTGGAAATACAACCACTTCAATCATAATAGAAAAAAGGAACAAAGAAATCAGAAATCAGAAATCAGAAGGGACGATTGAAGGTCTAAGACAGAACTGGAGGATTTACCAAAATGTTGAGACCGTTTTAAAGTAAAGAACATTTTGGTTGAGATTTAGGTTTTTAAGCAGTCAGAGAGTCGACTGTGGACAAGAACCCTCCTGAAACCAAATCAATCGAAGCAGCACAGAGGGGGAAGCCGCCCGGTCCAATTTCATCTGGAATCAGAGAGTTAATAAAGGAAGAGTCCCGGGGCCACCTGGGGCCTCGCTCACATAAAAGTCATTACATTTCCTCCCTCTGCCTCGGCGTCTTCATCCGAGTCTCAGCGAGCACAGATGACAACGCTGACACAAGTTCCCTCAGGCTGAACAAAAAGAAAATGTCTGTCAAGCTGTAATGATGTAATAACGTCACCGTTACTCCGTGATGACAATCTGTCTCTGCGAGAGGCTTCGGGGGAGCGAGACGACATCAGAGGAGCGAAGGAGGAAAAGCTCCGGGGGAGGAAAGAAAACCGTGATCGGAGTAATCTACGACCTGAGACAGAACAGACGCCTCCTGAAATCTGTTCAACAACGGGAGAGAAACACTGGGATGCAACAATCCCGCTTTCCTCCAGGTCTTAAAAATGTGTTCTGGTGTTTTAACTTTTTACTGGGATGTTAAAAGAGAAGAGAAACTACGAGGAGATCAGCTGAACCTGGATTTAAAACAAGCTGTGGGAACACAAGTGATCATGATTTTAATAGTGTGATCAGGGTCAGTGAACTTTGTGAACGGATTCTAGTTTCGAAAGGAGAAAATCTAAATCAGGAAACGAGCTGTTATGAGTCTTTTATTTTCAAAACAACATAAAACAGTTAAGAAAATAGTGAAAATGGCTTTAACACTTCACTAAAACCTAAAAATATTCAGGTTAACATCACATAAGAAGAAGAAAAACAACTAATCAAACTCAACTGATTGTTATATTACCAGCCAATATCAGCTCAGTAAGTCTGTACAAGTGTTTGATTTGTTTTTATATTGTACTTTTTACAATGTTTGGTTTAAAGTTTATTAATACTTTGATTTCTAGTGAAGTTCTTTGTTGAAAATGTGCTGCTGCATTTACTTTCACTCAGAATAAAGTCAATGTTCAGCTGCAGACATTTACACATATTTAGACGACAGAGATGAAGAGCCCAGAGGTGGATTGTGCTGCAGATGTGGTTTGGAAAGTTTCTATGGATATTTCAATACTTTTTTCCTCCCTTCCTCCCTGAAAACTTGCCATTATTATAACTGACTGAAGTCAAACTCTCAGCAGTTTTCTTTGTGATGTTAAATTCCCTGTAGTCTGACTCCAGCGACAGCAGCCAACCGCTAAAGAAAAGTCGTGTAATGTTCTTGTAAGTGACGTATCAGAGGCAGCGTCAGTCATCAGTAAACCAAAACCAGCAGCCTGCAGTCTAAAAATAGCCTCAGCCCAGTCTGCGCCGGGAATAGTCTGACCTGGCCCGGCCCGCCTGGCTCGGCTCTGCAGCAGCCATGTGGTCTGACAACATCAACAGATCTGTTGTCCACAGTGACGAGGTGGTGATGATGCTGCAGATGAATCAGCAGGACGACTTCATGAACAAACAACCAGCTCAAAGAAAGTGTTTAAAAACAAGAGGAGGTTGTACGAGCTTCAGTGTTTCATCACACAGGAACTCTGAACATTGAGGGAATAACTTCCTCAGAGAGCCTCACAGGATGCAAACACTAACTGCAGGGACGGAGAGTTAAAGGTTATACGGGAGATTAAATCATTTATATCAGCCGTCACCAACCTTTTTTGTGCCACGGACCGGCCTTCAAGGTGTGGGCGACAAATACGACGAGATAAAATGATACGACCGACATACAAACAAATATAAAGTGCATAAAAATACAACTCACTATTACTCTGAATTAGTGCGAGCCCTGAGCAAACGGGCCGGTCCCATCTCGGGGTAATGGGAGACAACGACAGCTGAAGTGTGTTTCTTATGTCCAGTCTATTCTGTGATTTTGTTTTGGTCGCTGTCACTGCAGAAAAAACCCGCTTCACAAAGATAGGATGTTGGAAAGGGAAGCGATCTCAGGACGTCTCAGACGTTTGTTTTTTACTAATTTTTGCTAGTTTGAGTGTTTAACTGAGGTAACATATCCCGAGAGGCACAGACGGACGTATTGGGAGAGAATGCGGTCGTTTTTAAAAATAAAACATCTTTCAGACTCTGATCATCAATAAAATATTTATTTCTTTATTTTTCTGTGCGGCCCGGGACCAAATGACCCACGGACCCGGTGGTTGGGGAACGCTGATTTATATAGCGGCAAACCAAATGGAGTCATTGTGTCCTGAGCAGAGAATTTAAATGTACCATAAAACCAAAAGTATGAAATTAAAAAAGAGGTTAAAAAGGCTCCAAAGAGCTGCTGAGTCAGATACAACTCATTCATGTTCATGTTCGAGGTTATATATGAGATTTTTGAAAATGGAGTCTGGCAGATGCTGGTTCTCTAGCGGCAGTGAATTTAAGAAACACAAAATGAAGTTGTTTTTTTATCGTGGATTGTCTCCTACCTGTTGCTGAGGGTACTGCATCCCTCCCATCCCCATCTGCCCTCTGCTGGGCATCCCCATCGGGTATCTGTGGGGGGAGGGCGAGCCGTAGGGCTGGCCGGAGTACGGCGCCCCCTGCTGCTGGGAGTACGGGTTGTTGCTCATCCCGTAGAGCTGAGAGCGCTTCATCGCCATCGGGTCCATGGGAGGCACCTGGAGGAGGGAGGTGATTGGTTGATGAGACGTTTTGGTTTAAGCTTTAGACCTCTTACTGCAGGTTTAATGAGAGCTTAAAGAGCTTAAAGAGCTTAAAGAGTGTTTCCAAAGTTTTAAAAAGGTCAAGAATTAACTTTGAACCAACAGGAACAAGACATTTGTGATGTAGTCAAAAGCTTCAGGGCAGGTAAATGGACCTTGTGGTGAATTTAAATTGGTGAAATCAAGCATATGTGATAAGGATGGTACAAAGGATGGATTCAGACACATCTGGAACCAGTCATCTCCTTTGGGGAGACCCAGTCATCTGGAAACCAGTCATCTGGAACCAGTAGGAGTCTGAGGCTCTTCCCAACATGTTAGAATCAGCAGAGCAAACGTCATTAATCTTTACTCGTCTGTCGCTATAGTTTTGTCCCCAAAGAGACCTAGAACCTCGGTGATCTGAGACAGCGACGTATTTGTTGTGTCCTTCTCATCCACTCATAAAAAACTGTCATGCCTTCGCCATCCTGGGTATAAACAAAACACTATCGAATAAATGATGAGCATATGGGGGGGTTTAGAAGTGGGTATTCCCAATGCTGACAATAAGTGGATATACTCCTGCACTACACTGCTAATACATGTGCCCCCCCCTCCCGCCAATACCCGATAATATCAGAGGAATTGGTATCGGAACAACCGGAATCGTCTGAATACTTTTTCTCCCAGACCAGGTGGAGCACATCGCCGAGCCGGTGGAGGACAGTGAACACATCGCAGGCGGGTATCGGGGCTGGGGGTTGACAGCTGAGACTACAGAGTCAGAGCAGATTCAGCTGAAGCAGCACTCAGACAAAATGTGAGCAATCCAAAAGCCTGGGAGGCCACTTTACACTGAAGTCAACAGTCACGCCTGGGTACGCTTTAATATGCACACACACACACACAGTATTTGACACACTGACATAATAGTAGGTGAGAGAAGTGACTCAGTGAGAACAGATGTTTCACTGCTGCTCAGACGGCTGCGACTAAAAATAGAAACCATTTATGGATTTTACACACAAAACACGATCCAGACATTTACTCCGGTTCTTTAATCTTTTCTCTGGGTGACACGTTTCCATCAGTCAGCTGAGGACGAGCACACTGGGAAACCCCCCCCGTAAACAGCTCAGCGTGAGATCGGACAGGTTGTCACGAAGCTTCAGCATCAGCTTCGATGGTTTAAAGTCGCCGACTGAAGCTGAAACTGCAGAAATTTAACTTTTCCAAACTGTGAAGAAAACAAAGACTCCTGTCATATTTTGTTATATTTCATTAAATTATTTTAAACAATCTAATTTAGTGATCAGTCTGACAATATACACGTCAAAGCATCAGATTACTGTTAATAAAGACGTATGAAGCCACTGGTTCTACATCATTAACAATAAACTATAACTTTATAGCACATTTCTTAACGTTACAAAGTGCCGGCGGATAAAATAAGAAAAAGGTAGAGGTGTAAAGATTTACCGTTACGAGACGGTTTTAAAGTTATAGATGCAACAACATCGGTACGTGAACCCGAGATGGATCTAAATATCTGATGAACCGGTCGATGGTCCGATTCTGAAGTTATGAATCTGTTGACTGAAGCTTTGCTGCTAACAGTGTTTCTGCTCGTTGCTCGTCGCTCTAATGCCGACACGATTTACAGAGCAGCATCAAAACTACAATCTAAAGTCTGGATTCAACAAGAAGGAAGGAAAGTTCGGCCATTCGTAAGATCTGTCGGACTCAGTCTCTGAATCGTGTCGTAACCAACGTGCAAAGATAAACCTAAAAACGGAGACATGCACACTGCTGGAAAAAGGCCAAAGGAGGTTAAAACAATTAAATTATTGAATGTGTTAATATATAAAAAGTGATCTTATCTTATATCAGCTGATTAATGTACGTTCAGTCAGAAACACACATTCCTGTCCGATCTCTTCCGGCCTTTAAATCGTTTGTGACTGTGTTTCCGTCTTAAAGATCCTCTCCAGACATTAAGACACAGATTATATAAATATATATATAAAATCTGTGTCTGATGTGTTTTTATGCAAACCCTTAAACAGTCATCTCCTCCTTCTACCTCACTCAATCTGTACAGTCCCTCAGTGCACCGGTGGATCACTCTGTAGACGTACTGGACCAGGACTGCCTTCCTGACTATCTGTGATGGTTCCCCCCTCCCCTTTATATCTCTGAATGATTGTGCCCCCCCGGCCTCGGTGAGATCTCTGAGGTCGACTGAACAAAGCCTTCTGACTGTCCCTGAAATTCAGGCTTACAGCCGAATGTGCCGAGCCTCTGCAGTTGTGGCTCCCGCCCTCTCCCCCGAGTGCTCCGGTGCCTGAGTCACGTACACCAGCGCTGATCTGTGACGCTTCACTGTTTGTACTCTGTCCTGTTCAACTGTTCATCCTTTTGTGAAGGTGTTATATCAGGATACTCTGTGTGTCAATACTCAACCTGTAGGTTTTATATTATTAGATTTTATTCCTCCTTGTTTCAGGATGCAGGTTTTTACAGGTCGGTGTTTTTTGGACCCTCTGCGTTAATTTGCATTTAATTAACATTAATGTGGCCACAGCTCGTAAGAACCAGTTCAAATTAAATAGACTTTAATTTTAGAGAGTATTCATCTTCTAGTTTTTATTTATTATTTCCTGTTATAACTTTATAATGTTTGTAAAGGCGCTGAATCAATAAAGTTCACTAACTTACGATATGTCTTTAGATGTCAGATTCAAATCATTTCTGCTTTCCTCGCTACAGACGCCGCGTTGAACCACTCGTTTCTCCTTCCCAGTAGGATGGGGAGGGCGAAGCTTTCAGGTAAAGTAGGATTTTGCAGCGTCTAGTGTCGAGGTCGCAGATTAAAACCTTTTGAATACCACTCGCCTCCCGAGCGTGTAGGAGAAACCGGTCTACTGTAAAACGCCGGCTTAAAAACACAAACATTTCTTATTTTCAGGTGATTACACACTAAAGAAAACATATACATGAATATTATATTACATTTCTGCCAACAGAGCCTCCTAAACGTTACACACGGGACCTTTAATGTGCACACATGAAGCCCGGGCAGCTGGAGGAGCATGAGGAATATTTAGCTCCAGTGTTGTTGCCTGTGGTAATGGGCACATGGCTAATCTGCATGAGTGAAGGTCAGGGCTCTTGTGTGGAGACGGGGCCACGACGGGCTCCCTGCCAGCTGACGTTGAGGCCGGATCACGAGCTGAAAGGTTTTTATTACCATCACAACAGAGAGGGAAACAACGTAACGGCCGCCGACACCTCAGACGACTTCAAAAGAGATCATTAGCACGTGTGCGGCAGTTAGTCGGTGTCAGGTGTGAACGGCGCTGAAGTGGCGGCAGATAATTCTCCTTTTCTGTCAGCGAAGTCCCCAAACTTTATCTGACAACACAGCTGAATGTAATTACAGCGTACACGGACACACACAGCCTCGTTGGGCCTGGACAGCTCCACTTCTTTAAAACCCAGGATGGCAAAGTCAGGACCCGCCTCACTCTGCCTCGGATTGGACAGTACTCGTGGCCTTTGCTGCTCTGATTGGTCGGTGATCGGGTGCTCGGAGAGGACGGGACAGAATCACACTTCCTCATATAGTCGAGTGTTAAAATATCAGGAAGGAATTCTTCTCAAAATGTGAAAAACGTTTAGCAGAAATGAGAAATTAGCCTCATTCTGGGGGAACAGAAAGAATAAACAGCAACAATTCATTATAATATTACTGAGATCACAATAATTCAAGAGCTGAAATGTGACAAACATTATTATAATGACGCAGACGCTCTGGTCTACTAATAGTTTGTTACAGACCCCCAAAAAACATTTTACACATTATTTTAATCGATTTTTTTTTTAGAAAATTAAATTTGTGATGCAAAAATTTAAATTCCTGCACTAATCCTGAATAATATCACAATATCTGACTAAATAATCACAATATGATGTCACAGAAACAGTTATAATTATAATATACATTATATTCTACATACGACACGTTTTTAATTACTTTATTTTATTAAATAATAACTTATTACTAATATATATTATATATACTGTTTATATACATATTATTCCTTCACATTTATCCACTAATTATCTATTTTATTTAGTGAACTACTTGTTTTGGGGTCAGTTTTATCCTTTAGTGTCGCCGTTATATTAATAAAGCCCGTTGAACTGAAGTTAAACACAATCACAGGTGAAGGAAGGCTGTTTGTGACTTCGGCATCCTGCGAGAGGAAACGTGACTTCTGCACTCCTGCGAGGAAAACGTGACTTCGGGATCTGCGAGAGACAACGTGGATTCGGGTCCTGCGAAGAGAAAATAAAAAAGAAGCTACATGCTAACGGTAGCTTAGCCTAGCGAGCTAAACACGGAGTCACCTTGGACCCAAACACTGACTTTACTAACCGACAGTAACTCCTGCGGCTGCTGGTTATTGTTGCACATGCGGCTTATTAAACGAGGATTATCATCGTTTAATAAAATAAAAGCCCAAATGTCGCGTTTGCACTTTGTGTTAAATGACGTCTCTCTGCGTGTAGCATGAGTTAGCACGGCGGCTAGCGGGGGTTAGCACGAATAAAACGCCTTTCTGTGATTAATGAGAGGGAGTTGAAGAGCCGCGGACACCGGCGGCTGGTAGTTTATTAACCCGGTATTCACCTGCGATCTCCCGCCGCCCTGCCCGTTGTTCCCGGGGCTCATGGTGGGGTGATTTCTTTGTCCTCCCCAGCTGTGAGCAGCGGAGTACTGGGACTCTTTAGCCGGCCCCAGGCTCTGCTGCTGGGCGGCGCTGTACTCGGAGTACCCGTAGCCTCTCATCATGCTGCTCGGAGCCGTTAACAGCTGGTTTAAAGTCGGTGTGGCTCCGGACGGGTGCAGCTGCTGCGGACCGGGGAACCGCTGGAAGCCCCCCCCGCCGCCGCCGCCTCCAGCCGGGGAGCTGCCCGCAGACACAGCCGCTTTACCGCCGCCGCTGCCCGGGCCCAGCAGGGTGTTACTCCGCATCAGGCCCCCGTACGAACTGCTCCCGTACCCGGGTCGGTAGTTCGGGTAGTGGCTGTACGGGCTGTTGTTGTTGTACCCGTCGTGGGAGTTCTGAACCTGGTCCATAGTGTCGAGTACCGAGAGTACCGAGAGCGTTACCCCCGTCCCTGCGCTTTGTTGTCCGCCATGTTGATGATCGACGCTGGGCCCTCCTCTTCCAATCCCATAATAATGATTAAACCCGGAGCTGGTCCCAGTCGGAGGAGGGCTGGTGCTGGTGCTGCTGGCTGATCCCAGACTGGCATCCATCCGCTCCTCCTCCTCCTCCTCCTCCTCCTCTGATATTCAGCCGGTGTTGCTGATGTTTGTTCTCCACCAGGAGGTTGTTTTCTTTCCCTCCATGTTGTTGTTGTTGTTGTTTATTATGTTGTTGTTGTTGTTGTTGTTGTGGGTCCTCCGCTGGTGCTGCTGCTGCTGGATGAAGTGGCTGAGTGGAGGAGGTGTGTGGTGGGATGATGATGATGATGGTGATGGAGGAGGAGGAGGAGGAGGAGGAGGAAGAGGAGGTCCAGCAGGTCTTTTAGTTTCCTGACTGACATTAATACAATGAGGAGAAGAAATAACAGAAAACTGTAATTTAACACTTTTATTTTAATTCATAATTGTGAAAAACAGGTTTTTAATCTTTTTTTAAAAATAGGACTGTTTGTTTTCTCATTTTCATAGAAAACCCAAAATACTATGATTATATTTGTGTATATTTAATGATCTGTTATGGTCCATTTTACTCTAACTTGTGTGTTTAACCAGAATACGGATTATTATAGATTATAGATTAAAATCAATAGACCACCTCGACTGGATAATATAATTTATTAATATTTCCAAGCGACACAGTAACAGTTATAATTATTCAAACATGGACCCACCTCCTCTCTAACTCACTAATTTATTTATAAATGTAATTGTGATTAAATCAGTTTATATATTAAGAAAGATATAAAACTTAAAGATGTTGAATCTTTCTGGGCTCTGATTGGTTGTTTTCATTCGGGTCCGGTGGATTCTTATAAATCCCATCAGGAGGAACCAGAGGAACCATCACAGATTATCTGTCTCATGTTCT